ATTTAGAAAGGATCAACACTGTAGATGGAGCAACCATGGATGGAACCGAAATGATTGGAGTTGTGCCTAAAGCAGGCTTGAAAGCAAAATTAAAGTTATACTTCCAGGTTTTCAAAAAGGTTGGTATCTTTTACACTTATTTCAATTTTTAAGAAATTTAAGTCAATTGTATACTTTCCTGATGGTATCGACTTCCGAAAATACTACCTGGACGATTTTTTTTTTTTTCCACTCGAAACTTAGCTCTTGGTAAAGATTTCATTGGAACATATTTGGTTCGTAGATGTTAGCCATAAGCTGGCTTTTACTCAATGACAAACTGATTTCAAAATAAGGCACATCAATAAATTGGGAGATATCACGTTTTTATTGAAACTAATAAAAGATGCTTGCTTCTACTGGAATTGCTAAGCAATGTTAAGCACAGTTGGGTATAAGTTCTTTTAAAAAATTTTTCGACATTCTCTCGAGATTTTTTGTTAGTTAGCAGATTCATCTTCGTGAACTTGTTGCCATGTTTGGGATAAAATTTGTAATGTGCTGTTGTGAAATAAACATATTTTCAGATTTGGATTCAGTGTTTTAATGTGTGGTGTGTGTTTTTCGTCACATTAGCAGTATTTCCTGTAGTAATGGCTGACATCAAATACTACAGTAAAAGTGGAAAATATGATTTCTTTATAGCAGGTGCTTTTTTACATTCGTTCTAATCTTTTGCCATCTTTTGGCAGATGAGCGGAATCGTAACAGTGATGGAAATTAAATTAATAAGTTAATTTCGGTAATCATAAAAAATCTTAATTTACAAAAAACTTAGTGAGAATTAGATTAATGGTAGTTTGAACCCTTACAAAAGAGAAGATTCATATTGATTGGCAGTAAAAAATGGATTTCCTTGAATTACTAAACGTTTTTTAAATGCATTTCCATTATCAAATGTTTTTCGATTTGTCATCAAATAACCTAATCTATTTTTTGTCTGAACTGTCTAAGAAAATTTCTTTGGAATTCACTGCGCTGAATCCAACACTATGAATGTTCAATTAGCAAATTTGTAGAGAAACTGTTCACTCCAGTCACAACATACTTGCTGTTCAATTTCTTTGCTGCTGCTGGATCATTTCTGGCTAATTTTGTACAGTGGGTATGTGGGTTATTTGTTTTTGAAGTTTTTTGAGTTGTTTGGGATTGTAAAATAAAATTTTTGATTAAAATTTTAGCCATCACCAAAATGGCTGATTGTTCCGGTAACAGCGCGCATTGCACTTATTCCACTGTTAATGTTTTGTTACTTCCGTCCTGAATACCGAACCTGGAATGTATGGTTTTACAGTGTATGGATTTATATCATTTTTGCAGTTATCATGTCCATCACCAGTGGGTATTTCAGCTCTATAATAATGATGTACATTCCAAGGTAAGTATAACTTCGTTTTCACATACCCTAACAATAATGCTTGCTGCGTATTATATCCCTTATTTATTGTTTCAAAAGTTCTGATTATTTCATTTAGGATAGTGGAACCATCCAAGTCAACAGTTGCAAGCATGATAGCAGCGTTCTTCCTGATTTTCGGTATTCATTATTTTTCTTTAATATACTGACTTCTGAATTTATATAGTGAAAAAAAAAGCAGTAATATTCTTCTCAGTTAACCGGATTTTCTATAGGAGTTCTAAAGAACTATAGAATTATGAATCATGTTAGAGAATTGTAAACTAGGCGTGGGATATACATTCTCGTCATTGATCTTTGTTGGAAAATTTATAACTGGCTTCATAAGCTGCGTGGGTGAACCATGAAATAGGGCCGTATAATTTTATTTATACTTGATGTAATAGTATGTTGTACAATTTTAGTGAGAGATAATTTTAGTTTTTTGTCTCACAAGGAGTTACGAGATTTTCTAATTCTGCTACTTCACTTTACTTTCGAGTTTGAAATGTGAGAAGTGCGTCTTACTTTAGAATTGCAAATATGAAAAGTGAAGTTTGGAAATTACCCAGATCAAGAAAGTTTTAAATGAATATACTTCATATTTCCTCTGTTACACTTGTAAATTACCAGAATACGAAAATCAGGAATGTCCAAAATTACCGTTTCAAATATTACATTTGTTGCAGGCATAACATGTGGAATAATGTTTACATTTTTCGTTTCTTGGTTTATCGATAACGCAGGAGTACATAACCCAGGAGGTTTTGACACAGTAATGTGAAGATTTACTTAATGCCCTTATTTGTTTAAAAATAAATTTTGTTGATTTCGAATTTGTTCAACTCTAAAACAGTCAAAAAAATTCTACTCAAATGAAGTTTTCATTGCATCTTTGAGCTAATAATCACTAAAACTGGATAAATTATGTTAGCCAGAGGTTAAGAAATAGGAAAGTAAATACATAGTGTAACAAACGCAACATTATTACCACATGAACAGTACACGATGCGGTTGCTGTCCAAGGATAAAGCAAGAAAGTGAATCGCCAGGAAATCATGACCCTTACCATCCTAGATTCTAGACGTAAATGGGTAGCGAAAGGAAACAATGGGAAGAACTAGTTTTGTTTTTTTTTTTCTTGGCACTCGAGAAGCCAACACTTGTTTGCGCATTGTTTACTACAATTCGAATGGTAACAGCAGACAACATTCCTAGCATGCATGAACAAGTCAAATTTATTTTAGCGGATTTGGTAATGCTTACTGTAGAAGCCTCTTTTTCGCTATATCTCAGAAAACAATCGAACTGGACTACGACACAGTGACTTAATCGTCGCCTCGATACTTGCTTGGTGAATCCAATGCGTCCTTTATTAATACCTTATAGAGTGAGTTGATAGTTGAAAGATTTTAAAAAGCTAAGTCTTCCACCGACTACGGTAGCAAAGAAGTGGGAACGAGCGTCCTAACTAATTTAACCTCCACCAACGTATTTGTCTACAGACAGGTCGAGCTCCCCTGGTATTTAGCGGTCGGCCAACGATGCTTTTGTTGCTGTGTTTGTGTGACAGTCGTTTGCGCGTACGTATTCTCGGAATATTCCTTATACGTTAGCGCTTGTTTTCGTTTGCTGTTAACCATTTCTAGGGATGCAGTGATTGATGCTAATGACGTTGTATTACGTTTCTTTTACATGCCAGTTGCAATCGTTTGGCTCTTATTCTGTCATTGAAATATACTAAATCCTTCTTCATGCTTATATTTGATTTGATTGCTAGCACATTTGCTTGCTTTTTTTGGTGAAAAAACCACTATTATGAATGTTGATTTGACAGAGTGACGTCACTAGTTAGTGGATCCACAAATTTGTCGTTATCTTTTTGTCTCAGTTGTATATCGTCCTGTAAAGCTATATCCGCTTGTATACTGACCTAGATGTTATGTTTTAAATGAAATGCTATCATTACCGTTGTCGTTTGGAATTTAATATGCAAACTTTTAACTTATGAACTTAAATCCTTTCCGTTCGTTATGTGAAACTGAGCAATATTGTTGAAATATGGGTTCCCTAATTGTGTATTCGTATAAAGTTATGTACTTTGTCGTGGTTCATTTATCTCATTTCTTAACCGGTACCGGTAACTATTCTCTGTTGCCGTTCTCAATCCCTTTCACCAATTTTTTTTTTTTTTTTTTTTTTTCACACTTTTCTATCTTATTCACTTTTCCTTAATTACAAGATTTTTTCAACCATTCGTTCTCTCTCCCTCTCCCTGCCTTTATTTATTACTTTTCTTGAGTCTTTTCAATTTCATTTCCATTTTGAAAACAAGAAAATATTGAGTAAGAAATAAGTTACAAAACCTTAAACGGAATGCCTTAGAAATCCATTTCCACATAACTGTCACATCGAACATTGAACTGAATGGGTTAACAGTGGTAGTCGGTCTCTTCTGGATATTGGATACTATGTATGATAGTATTCGTACATCACACTACTGCTGTAGGATTGGTTGATGGAGCAGACCTCGCCGTAGGAAAAAGAATTCATTCTATTTCGTTGTCCTACCATTTTTTATCCTGTCAGCTTATGTCATAAGAAATGAGTTTTTTTTTGCATTTTTTGAAGTCCTTATGTTGATTTGAAGTAGTTTCTTTTTCTTCTTAGTTTCTGAAATTAGTTTCAAAAATTTATTAAAAGAGATGGAGAAAATTTTTATTTAGTCCAGATTTGAGGACGTTATATATCTTTGTATATGGCAGACAGGCAGTCGTTCTTTGTTGGAGATTTGTACTTTTGGTTTTAAATTCACTTTTTTAAAATGTTTTTATCTTATTAGAATTATTGGTATTCAAAAGTGACAAAAATGACTTTTGTTATGGGAATTAGATCTTATTATATTCACAGTAAATGCAGACTATCAACTTTCAATACTCTAGTTGTGTTCATCACTTTGTGAACTGTGTTAGATGGATTATAGTAAAGGACAGAATACGTTCTGTTTCCTCTTTGAAAGTGGGACTTTCGAAAGAAGAAATTGGTGTAATTATATAAGGACTTACCTTTGTTTCTGCTGTTTTATTCCTTTCTTGTCAAAGTCAAAGACTTTCACTGTCTAATAAAGAACGAATTGGTCTGAGATGTTATAATTCACTTTACATTCTGACATCTGTGGGAATTTTTTTGACTAAGCATAGTGATGGGTAGGAAATTCAATAGGGGAACGATCACTACAGGAAGTGGTAACAATATTCTTCTACCCTTCACATTAGTGGCTGTACAACGTGACTTTAGAAGTTTTATAACCAGAAAATTGACCATTTGATTAATTTAATAATGACTATCGTTTTTTAATGATTTCAATCTAATTTTTTATTTTAGTAAACGCAATCTTATTGATTAAACATAACTCGACTTGTTCCAGCTTACTTGCAAGGAGGGAAATGATATATTTCAATAAGTAATCTGTTTATTCAGGTGATGTGCTGCATCAAAATTAATTTTGCGTTGTTTCGGATTTGCTAGAAATTTGAAAGTTGTTACAATTCAAATGCGATAGTCAATGTTGCGTTTTCTCCGGAGTCATATACATCCTGCCGGGGATTTCAGGAACGCCGATATTCATGATTTTTTTGAGTATACCCCTGTTAGTGATTAATCATTTCTTTTAGTCAGCCGCCTTTTATAAAATACCATATTTTTATTAGAAGCCCGATGCTGGTAGGTTTTACGGTTTTAAAACCTTTTTTCTTCCTATTTGACTTTCTTTTTATTCTGTTTGACCCAGCAAGTTTCAGAAACTTTGTGAATTGAAATTTAAAACGAATAATATTTTCCGTTTAAAGGATTTGTTATATGTATATAATTTTCCAATAAGTGAGTAAGATTCGGAACTTTCTTTCAATTTTTGTTTGATAGAAAAAGGAGTGGACAGTACAGTGTTTTAATTACTACATTTTGAAAGGAAACGGAACTACACTTGCAGAGTTTGCGACATGGATTCCCACAATTGGTATCGTCCTTGGCGTACGACTACATACTAGGTCTTATGGCAGTAGGTACCAGTGATGGACAAGTTCGAATGTAAGTTTATTATTCTAGACATCCATTATTTAGGATCTTAAATATTAGGTTACTCGCAGTCATAATCGACTGTAGGGTTATATAAAAAAATCAGGATCAAGTAAAACCTGGTATAGTGGGAGCTGTCACATTGATTTTAACTTCTCATTTCATGCTCATAAGTGTTTCCAATTAGTATATACTGTTTATTAGGTTAAGGTTAAGTTGGTAGTTTCGAACTGCATGATATGTTATTATCTTATTGTAATAAGTAGCATAATTACAGATTTGGAGCAGAAAACGTGGAATGGAGTTCCACGACACCTCGAAATACCCCCATTGCCCATATGTACTTTGCTGCAGGACTGGGCTCCCTTATTGTGCTTTGCTCGGATCAGTCTTTTCATAAATTTCAAGTTGCTGGTGACATAATTGAGCGTACTACCGCTACTACTGAGGACAGGTAGTTACTAATACCATGGTAAACAGAGATTCTTTTCATTTAGTTTTAAAGAAATTTTTTTCAAAAATCACCCTTGAAGAGTTTCAGAAAAACCAAGTCATTCATTTTTGAATGGCACATCTTGCTAATAGCAGGAAATTTCCAATAGTTTTATCATTATACTTTTAGATTGAAACGGATAACATGCTGTGAAATGCATAATGTGCAAGATCCAACGAATGCCCGTCTGTTCATTGGTACTATCACGGGTAATTTATTTGGATTATGCGCTGTTTCGCTCGAGTTCTCTGAAGTATTGCTTTTTGAGGAGACAATTGTGAAAAGGTTGATATTTCTAATTTCGAACAGCAGTGCTCCCTTTTTTAGCTTCAAAATCAAATTTTAAGATTTATGAAACTCGATATTCTTCAATGCACCTTTTAAAACTGTTGTACATTCAGCATTAACCCTTCAAAAGACATTGGAAGATCGGCTAATCAGATTATGGTGAATCCGACTGATGTTAATCAAGTTCTGATTGCATTCGATAACCATATCATTGTCCATTACAATTTACTGAGCAACGAGGTGCTGCATCATTGGATTGTTCAGCAAGCAGTTACTGTATGTCATTTATCTTCGTTACTCTTTGGTTTTGTTATGAGCTTCAAATAGGTAGTTGAACAATGTTACAGTGTTCATGCATCAAATAATTTATCTTGCTTCTGAATCCAAGTCGCTTATCAGTACTATTACTCGACTGGTTAATTTTCTATGCGTGCATGTGCATTTGTTTTACATGATGTTGAAATTGACGAGATCGCTTTATGCACAACGTAATTATATTATTTCGGACACATTTTGGTATGGTTTATTAACATTTTGACTCAGAAGCAAACATAAAGCATAGCTTCAACTCGTTTGTCACCAGTCATTGCGAAATTAATGTGACAAGCTTGTTATTCGTATAACTGTCGACCTGTTCTCACATTTGCGCTCTGCAATTTTTGTACCATTTTTAACTTTTCAAATTTTTTAATTTATGCTGTTTTAGAGTTTAGCGTGGCATGTTGATGGAGAATATTTCATTTGTTCGCATAGTGACGGCTCCTTAGGAACATGGAAAATTCAGTGTATGGAACCTATGGAGCCATCGGTCATACCATTTGGCCCATTTCCATGTACTTCAATCAACAAAGTGCAATGGATCTGTGCATCCAGGTGTAGTATAAATCATGTTTTTGCTTGAAAATATTACCTTTTTTTCAGCTCTAACAAATACATGGACGAATTTTTTTTGATATATTTGTAATACTTTATTGACCGAGCTTAAATTTGAATTTCTTAGTAGACCACCAATGATAAGAATAATGTATTGGGATTTCACGTTTTAATGTATTGCAGCATATATTTATATATCTCAAGGCGTAGAAAATCTGATTTTCCCTCATGTGAAACAAGTGGAAATAACCAATTTAGAAATTTTCAAAATTAAGTTTGTTTTTTTGCAGCCTACAGATAAAACGTGAGATTTTAGATGCCCTCTGAATCTTTGGTACAACTCACAAGCGGCATAAGCTTAAATGTTTGATGATAGAGATTTTTCATAATTTACGGGCTTTCAATGCCTTACCAAATATGTGTTGTTATTTAGCCACTCGTTACCGATTAAGTTATTCACCGGCGGAATGCCGCGTGCTTCCTATGGTGATCGCTACACGTTAACAGCAGTACGAGGAGGTAAAATGGTAGTATTCGACTTTGGCAGCGCAATTGTGGACTTCATTGTTGTGCCTTCACTACAAAATCACAAACGTAAGACATAATATATATTATCCCTATTTTCTTAATATTTAGAGTTCCAAACTTTTCAATACAGTAACAAGCAAAATACACTGTGACTCTTAAGTACTGAAAATCGTTTTTGTGACTAACTTATGGTTATAAACATAATAATAATAGGTTATAACAATAAGTAATGCCATTTGTACTCGCAGATGCGGATTATAAAAATTGCTTGGCGTTGTTGATACTTTGTGAACAAGAACTCGTTTGTATCGATTTGACCGATGGAAGTTGGCCACTTGTTAATTTGCCGTATTTGCAGCCGATTCATTCATCTCAAATTACATGTGTTATACACTACTCCAATATTGAAGAGCATGTATGGAAGGTAAACTAACAAGTTTTTCTCCGTTTCATATTTCGTATATTTTTTATTTCAGAGATGAAAAGTTTATTTATAATAATTACTAGAAATACTCAATCAGTGTTTTAAGCTTGATTTATAGGGATTAATTAAAGCAAGCGAAGTCCAAAATAAATTATCATCTAAATGTAAGTGGCCTATTCATGGTGGTGCTGATGCTCAGACACCTGCTCCTTGTGCTGCAACGAATGCGGAAAAACGACAGCTTTTAATCACAGGGCAAGTTTTCTGTGACAATTGCCGGAGATACCCTTTATCCAGTAAATCTGTAGTGAATATTTAGTAATGAATTTCCTTTGTCTATCAGTAGAATTTGTTTATGTTCGCACTTTCACACAGTTGCATTTGTTCATTTGATTTCTTATTTACGTTTATTGTCATTTAAGTTTTGAAACTTTCGGGTGAGATTATGATGTATTATTGCTCATATATTTTTTGAAGACACGAAGACGGTACTGTGAAGTTCTGGTCGACTGGTTCTATCAGTTTGCATTATTTGCTAAAAATTAATACAGCAAAAGAATTTGAAGGCTTCTTTTCAGTAGATGCTGACAGTGATAGAACAGAATGTGAATCTGGAAGTTAGTTGTTTCCTGTATTTATTTTAAATCTAGGGTTAATCAGTACAAACATATCCTTTTTTTAATGCTACTTTGTTAGGGTATAACGAAAATATAAAGTGCAGAATTTTCAGGTAGTTCAGTTGAAGTTTCCAATAACGAAGCGTCTGATGAAGATTCCAATGAAATTACCGATTGGCCTCCTTTTCGCAAGGTCGTTTTGTTCTGTGTGTTACAGTAGAGATCATTCGACCAAGATATATATTGAGTGCAACGCAATTAATTTTAAGGTTGGAACATACGATCCATTTTGCGATGATCCACGTTTAGCCATACAGAAGGTGTATTTCGATGTGACCAACGGACGGTTGGTAGTAGGTGGTCGTGCCGGTCATGTTATCGTATATGATTTGGATGACGAGTCATCGGTAAGATCTTTAAGTAAATTTTAGTCATATTTAAACTATTATATACGTTGGTTTGCGATGTAAGTGTATGAACACTGTTAAGGTAGCATTGACCGTAATAAAAACAGAATATGAGGTTGCGGAAAAATCGAAGTTACCAACAAATATCAGTCAGCAAGCTTTACCTCCTCGGCAAGCTCCATTGTCATATGCGATTGGATATCAGCCTTTCAAAACTGATCAGAACCGAAGGTATATTATTAAAATTAATTTAAATGTGCTGTTTACTGATTTATTTACATATTATAGACCCAGAAAAAGTTTGGGACGCAGTGTTTTGTGTTTTTAATGGCATTAAGTAAACAATCATCTTTAAATTTGGATGAATTAGCAACTGGAACCAATAAATAATGCGACGGGCTTTGAAAGCGATTTTTATATAATTAATATTTTACTTGAAACTAATTACACTTATCTTTAGCTTACACTTACATAATGTTTTTAGCTATCTTATTCAGTTGCGTCCGTCAGTTGCAATAACAGCAGTAGCATCTCTTCGATCACGCAATCTTTTAGCATTTGGGTGCGAGTATGGCTTTGTGATGTGTGATTTAAAAAGCCGGGAAACTCTTATATCCAGATGTCTTATTACTTTAAAAGGTCTTTTTGTGCAGCAGTAAATTTATTTAAATTATTTTCTCTAGTCTTAAAGATCACAGCCATAGGTCTCTCGAGCTAATATTTCGTCGGACTTTTCAGATAAGAAGGTTTAGGATATAGGAATACACTTATTATTTAATTTCGTCCTTTCATCAAAAGACTGTGACTATAAGATTTTAAGATTATGTTGATTTGTCAGCTTTTACAGAAATCGGTCGTTGACCTCCTATCCTAATGCTCTTTCAATTTGTTCGTTGATTTTTTGTCCTAATGCTCTTTCAATTATATATGCTCACGAAGCTGATATGTTAAGTGTTCAGTTGAAAGTGCCAATGAATTATTCATCAAGAGGTGGAATGCATTACACCTTGCATATAACCGGAATGCTTAAAATCATGTTTATATGATTAATATTACATTCATTGCAGAATTAGGAGACGTAAGTACATTATCAAGGTTTAAAAGTATGAAAAAGTCAATCCGTCAGTCGTTTCGTCGCAAGAAAAAAGTTCCACAGGTGTTCTCTTAAAATGCCTTATAAAGTTTGAGCTGGGGCTTTATAATGGCACCGCATAAATTCCGAAATTTTCTGTGCTGTACTTATGTTTATTCAATCAAATTTTGTCAATTTCATTTTAAATAAGAAAATATCGTCGGTTTAGACTGGAAATAACTGCACTGGAGCTGCATGTTCAACTAATAATGATGACCTCGATGAACTGAGACCTGTCGAACGCCAAATTATTTCACGAAACGAGGCACCTTTCAACGGTTGTTTTTTCCTACATTTTTCATTATTTGAAAAAATAATACAGTATTTACATAATGTGAATGACGTTAGTCAGCGACTCATATATGCTACTTTTTAGTTGGTGATCCTCCTATTTCTGCGGTGCGAGTACTTAGATTCTTCCATACAAGCATTCTTTCCATTACTTCCCGCACTGATAGTCTTTGGATTGGAACAAATGGTGGTATGTTTACTCATAATTTTTTTAATAAGCTTCTTTGTGTTCTTCCATAGGGTTAAAAATAATAGGTAACGTTTTTCATCACTTCCATGCAGATATTATAAAAATATGCACATATAAAAAAAATATGCATTATTCAGGAGTGATATTTGCTTATGCAATATTGGATGATGCACTAAAACCGGAAGATGTTTGTATTCTCGTGAAGGAAGTACATTTGCAACATCGGGCTCCAGTTATTGATTTCACCTGCGCAACTGTTGATGGGTTTCAGCTTATAAAAGTGCGGTGAAAAAATCTTCACACATTAAAACTTTTAGAGTATTTGCTTCGTTTCCATATTTACTTTCGAACTGAGACACTTCAGGGCTTGACAGGAACAGAAAGACTGATCGTTTATACCGAAGAACAAATCAAAACGTTTGCGCTTCCGACAATGAAACCAACCAGATTTCGGTATAAATTTACGGGTGTGGAAGGTTCGCGAATTAGAAAGGCTCAGCTTCTTACATTACGATCAACTGCAAGTACATCACTTAATACCTTCAAAATGTTTTTTTTTTTTTGATCGATTAGAACGTTGATCAGGTACAAAAAAATAAAAAATAAAAATAAATCGAATAAAGTCAATCGTTTTTGTGAATAGTAATGTAATTACGAGAAGTCGTCATTTTTCATTTCGATGAAAACTCTGTTTCTCATTTGTAGTTATTTTTCATCTTATTCGTCAAGCTCCATATTAAATTCCATTTGGCTCCTACATTTGGTTCTTTCAGATCGAAAATTGTATGAAAAATTCATTGTTATCATCACGAACCAAGGCGAATTGTTTTTGTTTTCTGCGCTAACTATTAAGCAATTCTTGAAGATTCACTTTACAAAGGTATTTTTATTTATTGTTTTGAGGTTCCCCTCCAGTAACTTTATTTTCTTCATAAAACAATATCTGTTTCTTGCGTTGGATGTTTTGAAATCAAATAGTTATTTGATCAAGGTTTTTATTAAAATTCAAGTTTCTAAGCTTCAGTACATTTTATACATCGTTTCACGTTTCACTTTGTGAATACATTTTCATTTTGACGGTGGGTCTAAAACATAATGTAGGAGTTATGACGTTTAAAAAATTAGAACTTATTATGGAAGCAAAATAAGTAGAATTCTAATATCTCCATACTGAAGTGGTTGCAAAGATTGTCTGCCTATTGCAGTAGATTTTCAGGCTTCTGACGTTGAGGGAATCGCTTCAGCTGTTTTATCTGAAAACGGTGAAATATTTTTTCTACGTCCAGGGGCCAGTGAATTTCAGCGCGCTTCTGTTGCAGCTATGCAACATAATAATTTAATATCGCCTCTCAAGGACAGTGATTTCCCCAAAGTTTAATTATTAGTGCTCTTTGAAAATTTCGAATTTGTTGCATTGTTTATGTTTATCATTTTCTATTGTTTAGGATCAAAATGTACACTTTTTGTTTTGTTAGCTATGTGCATTTTTACGGTATGAAAATTCAATATTTGGAAACCTTTGGTAACTAAAATCCAATGGTTAAATTTCTGTGCTGATCGTATCCGTTTTTCCTTTTTCTTTGCAAGCTGTTCATGAGAATAGTAGTACATTAATTTATGTGTTTGTAATGTCTCTTCGGTAAAATCTGCCGTTCAGTTTTTTAGATAAAAAAGCAGGGAAGTATGCATGCTTATTTTCGTGTATTTGTTAGTTTCCTATATTTGTAATTTAAAATGTTACTTGTGATTTATCATTTGTATCTCTAACTGTACCGCCTTTTTTGATAACAGGTAAAAATTTTTCAATGATCATATCTGTCTTTATTTTGCATTTTGAAATCGCATGAGATTACTATTTCTTCCCTTCAAGCAGTCGTATTTCTTGCTTAACAATGCTGCACCATGATGTGAACTGCACGACTTTTAAGAACCAGCCACTGAGGATGTTAATCGTGTTTCAGATGGCTTTTAATTATGCTGCTTTTTTCAAAGTTCAGGTTGTTCCGTTTGTTTAAAGAACATAAGAGTTGTGTTAACTGTTTAGTTATAACCAAGTTTGACTCATTCAGTAAACTACCTGGACTTCCAACAATTCGTATGTCCAACAAATTTGTGATTTTATTGCTTTGATCGTGCCAATCAAAAATTATGAAAATTATTGTTAAGGAATATCCAAGTACTGGTAGAAAAATCCTACTTAAGCACTAGCAGATTCCATTCTCGAAGGATTAGGGTAGGGGTAAAGTCCTATTTTTCATTTTGGTGTTCTGAATCTAAAAGTGAAGGTAGGACTGGCTAATATCTTATAGTTGCCGGGGAACTCCGAAAAAAATTCGCTTGATAAGGATGGTGTGGATTTTAACATAACGGGTGGTCTATTATAAGAGGAAGTTTGTGATTTGAAAGTGGTCGCTTTTTTTTTACATAACACCAAATATCCGAACAGTCAGTAATGGAAGACTGACTTCTGATTCGTTCAGGGAAGGGCATCGAAGAAGTTATGCACGGAAAAGTCTCATGTAACTTGAATCTGGTCGTTATTTCTAGTAACTGTAGTTCAGTTCGTAAGGTTTTATATACATAAATAGTTACAGGATGAAAGTTGTGAAATAACAGATGGTGAATAAAAATATAACTGGTAAACTTGTTTGGATAGATATGATACCATTACAAAAATCGTTAAAGCAGCGACAGGTGACAATTCGGTAGCCGAATAACGAGAATTGCTGACACATATCAGAGCCTGCCACGGGTAACGCGATGCATCCTCGGTATATTCCGATCACTCTATTTCCTTGGTTCTCGTAGTTGCCAACTGTAGTCAATGATTTTATCGAGGCAGCTCTTTGTACTATATAAAAAGTAAAAATTTGTTAAGTATTAGTAAAAAGCTAACATTTATCAATACCACCAGAGTAAATCGTTGTTTTCATGCAGCCAAAAAGACCATAAATGCAAGGAACGCTTGCTTTTAGGCAGTCGTCAGAGGCGCCGGACGAACATTCGTAGCATGTTATACCATATGCATAGGTGGAATACAGCAGTGTGATTTGCGTGATCACAGAGCTGTTCATCTGCAACATGAGTAAGTGATTGTTAAGCCTGTTTGAGTAATAAACGCAATAGAATGGGTACGAAAACCGGACGTTGCAGTTTTTCAATTGTTATTTTATTAATCGGTATTTTGCACTGTGAAACGAGTGAGAGCGTGAAACTACGTAATTCTTGTCCACTTCGAATCAGTTACCTTGAGTGCTGAGAATAAAAAAGTTGGTAAGAAGGCTTATTAAAATTTCTAACCCATCTCACAACCATGAAAACGTAGGCATAAGCAAATGAAAACAATATTTAGTTTTATATTAAATATAGGATCGAAACTTAGTTACGAGTATTCTGCTGTTAAATGTCAAATGTAAAGAAATGAAAGCAGAGCTTGACTGGTAATAATACACACTAAAGCCTGAAATGAAAGCTAAGATGGCTGTCAGTGGTGAGACATCAAATAAAATCATTGTAGTGGCAGCGATGGCCAACATTTGCTATTGTACTAACCTATAAATATTGTCATACAATAATACATTTATCCAATGCTTTATTTCGCGTAAACAATTTTTTAATCATAAGCTTTGTTTTGCTCTTTCGAAATTTATATAATAACTATGTAACATAAGTGTCGCCATCCTGAAGTACTCTGATGCACTCGAATTCTTGTTCTTCCTTTATCCTTTTTAAACCTTTAAACATTATCAGTGATTCCAAGTTTTCCGGTAATACCATGACAGTATTTATAAACAAAAAGGGCAAAGAATCGGAGTCTGATCTTGACAAAAAAGTGTACTTGATTTTCTTTCTTCAATTATTACATGTTATAGAAATTATTGTTTCACAAAATGTGATACTTCAGATATTATTTCCCAGTGGTGAATAAACTTCTTCGAGGTGATCATTTCAGCTAGTTGTATTCTCCAGCAAAGGAAGGGAAAGAAAAAAATTTTTGGGCCTGCTGTTGTTTTGTAGTCTTCGTAATGCTGTTCAAATATGATTTTATCTACAAATAGAATCGATCGTAATACATATAGTTTAGTCTACTGTTGTTGGCGAGGATACATGATTATAATAAGATTGATTGTTAAAGTAACCCGTTTTACTTTGCTAACTAGCAACATTATGTTCGATAAAGGTTCGTGATGTGGAGTTCAGTAACACAGTGTATTCTTGCTTGTTGAATATGTTGAGTTTGAATTTTGTTTTACTTAGTTTTTTGTTTATAAATACTTGATTCCTGCTACACATTAATAATTTAAAATCTTGTATTGATATTTCCTTTTGTACTGATATTTTCAAAAAATTTTTGGAATTTTTCACTTTATTCTGGAAACTTCAACCCTCTAAAAAAATGAATTTTGACCGTAGGTTTGAACACTACCTTTTTATGGCTTTATCGAAAAAAATAAATAATATAATTGTTGTTTTGTATGGCTCAGCACAGCTTGGCAATGAAAGGAGGACTATTGTCGGTGGACCTAAAGTTACACATATTGGTGTGTTAATGTGTGAGTGTCCTCCCATACGTACTCGTATTTGGACCTCCTCAAGTCATTTCTTTCATCGATGATCATTTAGGTAGACTCAAAGTGAAGGAAAAAGACCTTGGGATTGAGTGCATCAGTGTCTAAAGAAGGCTTTTAGTAGAAATTGTCCAATAGCAGAGAGAACAGCGAAGACAGTACAAAGGCGAGATAGCAGCATATCGGTCGCTTGTTCCGCTCGGATATGTGACATTTCTCAATGGGGTAGATATACTCAAGGGCAGGGGATAATTCAGAATTCACATTTAACTGTCTTCTGGTCTTCCTTACTTTCCCTATGTTTTGTCGAGGTTATTGCACTGTAGCAAAAGCGGTGCCATTCTAACATACATACATGCATGCAAACATTTTCACAATACTTTATGTCAAGAAGAGTGAGCTTGACTTGTAGTTTCAAAGGTCGCGTTTACAAGGAGTAAATGCAGTGCTCTGCTACTGACACAAATGCAATGTCAACAATTCGCTGCATTGATCTTGTCTGCTATTATTTGTTAGCAACTTATGGTGGGCACACTTCTGCATCACATGGCCTTTTGTGAAGGATGTTTGGTTGACGATCTGCTCTGTACACTCTCTATTGACAACTTTTTCTATATCTTTTCACAAGTAATAAAGCAAAGCCTCAAAATTAATCATCATGTAAAGTGTGCGAAAAGTAGAAAAAAGCTTGAAAATTACGCAATTATCAATAACTGATAACCATAAAAAACACGTATCACGCTATTTCAGTGACAAATGCGAAAATGTTCCGTTAAAATTTCATATAAAAGTCTAGAATATGGAGAAAACAATGAACCTTATAGAAAGGAAAAAAGTGACAAAGTAAAGAAAATCACATAGAATGAAAAGTTCAAAGCCATTCACCATTCTTATTCTTCTCGTGCGGCGATCTTGGCGCTTTTTCATTAATCTGCGTTTGGTGACACTTTTTTGAGATATCAACTTTACAAAAGTTGTTTTGTGAAAATAAGGGAAAGATGTAAAGCATGGACTTTTATAATTCCAAATGCATTCTCATGCAGTTTCGCAATATATCCCAATCAGTTTTTTTCCCACACTAAAATTGATTCTGAGGTCATATGCTACTGTGAAAAATCAAGCTTAAAATAAGTTTATAAGTCCACATTTAGTGACCGGACTGTTTTCAGATATGCATCACTTATCGTTGCAGAATTTATCCTAACGCCAAATATTAAAATATGATCAGTTTCGATCATATGACCCTAAAAATGTTAATTGTTAGTTGTTAGCTTGACTAGAACATTGATAATTGCATGTTTCGAAATATTGAAATTAGAAGCAAAATGAAGGAATTAGAAAGCTATGTATTTGGAATAATTTTCTCATTTGAAAGTTTGAGATTACGAAAGTTCTCATTACTAGAATGTTTATATAACATCACAACTGACAAATTGTTAAAACTCTTTTAGCAGGGAATCGAGATTAGATTTTAGAGCTAATAATGTTTTAGGGACGGTAAGAAATCTTCAAGTTCAGATAAGTAACATTATTGATCAAAATTTTTTCTGGTGTCGTACTGCCACCCAAAATTAATTTTTACTTGAGATCTAAGAAGTCACATGTCGTGGTATCCATTAGTTAACGATAGATTTTGCATAAGAATTATGATAAAATACTATGATTGATAGATGTGGTCATTTAAGATCACACTCTTAATATACAGTAACACCTTCTTACTTCCTTTCCCTTCTTATCACTGAATGAATAAAAATATTTCGTAAACAACTCCAACAAAAATTCTGTTTATATTTGGAGAAAAGTTGTGTTTTAGCTCATTAATTAATATGATCCCATTATTTTTATGAAGAGAAAGATTAGTATTAATGTAAAATATCTGTTGGCTGTTTCAAAATATCTGTCTAAAAATTTGAATGCAGTAATAAAATATCCAGTCTACAACTCTCTCAATAGATTTTAATTATTACAGTTGACGATCTCTTTTTCGACTTGAAAAAATGGCGCTTCTGAATCTGTACAGTTGAATATAATTTCATTTATATTTCCTTCGAAAAAAAAAAAAAAAAAACTGCTTCATTGAATACGAATTTCGTAATAAACATAACATTTACTCTTAATAACACTATTTCCTTAGTATTAATGATGATTTCTAAACAGTTTTTAAGAGTTTTTCATTTTTATTTCATTTGTTTTGCTAACATCATATGCAAGATAAGCTTTAGCTGAAAATGTTTAATTGATTCTTCTCTTCCTGATATGCAAAACAACACTTACTTTTCAAGAACAGAACATTTTGTTCGATTGGCGAATGTTAGAACATGTTCTGCTCTGAAACAAATAAAAAGAAAAAGAAAAAAAAAAGTTCTCAGAAAAAATCCTGATACGTTTTATCTTACCAAGTAAATTTGCACAAGGCATTTTAACAAAAATTTGAATATTATTAGGTACAGCAGTGGAAAAACAGAAAGATAAAAGAATTGTAGTAAGAATGTGTACAGTTAAAATGCATCTCATTTCATTTTATTTCAGGGGTCACTTTAGAAAACGGCAGTATTGCTGGTTTCTTGCCCTGGTTCCGAACTCCAACTAACCAACTGATCCATGAAACTCCCGGTTTTCTGCTGTCCTTCTTGTCCCATCCAAAGATAATCATCGTTGGTCACAAGATGCATGCTCATTCATGGTGACATATAGAAACGCCATACTATACACACTTCACATCGAAGAGATCTGTTGGTCAGATTTGAGCGACGCAGCAATGCCTGACATTTTGGTAGCACAACATAGCACCAGTGAAATTGAATGCATGTTTATTATGTGTTTTGCCAGCAGGAGCGCTGATTGTGGGATCCGGCGAATTGATGTACAAGAGCGACACCTTGCCTGTTGTTCATCTTACTTTGTCGAAAACAAATTAGGCTGCCATGCTGTCGCGGGTGTCAACCAGACCTCCTCCGAGAAGCATCGCATATCTGTTACTTCTGTGAGCACTACCAAACGAATTTGTTTGAGATAGCGTTGCCTACCAGCCATCTTACCATCATTTAAATTAGAAACAAAGCAATGTTAAGTAACACTCACTGATGAAACAAGAAATTGTTGATCAGTGATCAACAGTGGTAAAGCAGAGGAAGTTTCAAAATGCCTTGAATTTATAGGACATAAATTCTACACCGCTAGTCTCAATATTTTTTTAAAATTTTATTTTGGTCCTCATGCTTTCTCCTTTCTTTAGAAAGCAATTTTTTATTCCAAGCAAACACTGGATTTGAATAAAACATGCAGGTATTTTGTTGTCTCGGAGTTTATGGAATTCAATGAAGCAATTGTTTGGTTTGGTAAAGTTTCTTGGTACAGTCAATACCAATAATCGGAAGAACCACCAGCTGGTTTAATAATTTTCATAGCAAATGTTAGATAAACAAATTTCATCGGATTATTAATTCATAGTTATGTGTGACTATTCCTAGATTTGATTAATAGTCGTGAATTGAAGTTTTACAGGA